CCCCAAAACCCCAAAACCCCAAAACCCCGATTTACTGATATCTTGAATGATATGAAGTATAAATTAAATCAAATCAAAAGTAAAATGGAAAGTTTATAACCACAGATTGAGAGATTCGATAACTCTCTGGCTGAACTCTCTCCTCAAAAGACTCTCAATATCAATGTAGGTGTACTGGGTCATATTGACAGTGGAAAGACTTCTCTTTGTAAAGCACTAAGCACTATTGCATCAACTGCTGGCTTTGACAAAAATCCCCAGTCAAAGGAACGTGGAATCACTGTAGATCTAGGATTCAGTGCTTTTATCATCAGAATACCTGAATGGTTCATGCAAAAGCATTAAGATAATATTAAAAGCTATGAATTCATTTAGTTTACATTGGTTGATTGCCCAGGACATGCCTCTCTAATGAAGACCATTATTGGTGGAGCCAGCATTATTGATATGATGATGTTAGTAATTGATGCTCAGAAGCTAATACAGACTCAGACTGCTGAATGTATAGTATTAGGAGAGATTCTTATGGATAAGTTGATAGTGGCCTTAAATAAAGTAGATATGTTTGAAGAGAGTAAGAGAAATGAGATGATTGAGACTTAGTGTAAAAAACTATAGAATAGATTTGGCTTTACTAGATTTGGAAGTCATGTTCCAATCATTCCTTGTGCTGCAGCTCCACGAGCAGGGATTCAAGCTTAATTGTCAGAAGAAGAGAAAAAAACTGATAATATTGGTTAAGCTATTGGTATAACTGATTTAATAAATTCTTTCCTAAATAATTTGGAAATTCCAGACAGAGTGGTTAAGAATTAGCCATTTTTATTCTCAATAGATCACTGTTTTTAAATCAAGGGTTAAGGAACAGTGCTCACTGGCACAGTCCTATCAGGTTCAGTTAAGCAAGGAGATACCATCGAGCTCCCTGCATTAAAATAAGAGAAAAAGATAAAAAGCATGTAGATGTTTAGGAAGCCAGTGACATCTGCAAAATAAGGTGATAGATTAGGCATCTGTGTGGCCTAATTAGACTCCTCATTGATAGAAAGAGGTATAGCTACAACTCCTAAGAGCTTGCTAAGTACTGATTTAATTGTGGCTTTGGTTAAAAAGATCCCTTACTTCACAGAAGAGGTAAAAAACAAAGCTAAATTTCATATTACTATTGGCCATTAGACTGTCATCGGTTAATCTATCTTCTTTACTGCCAAAGATCCCTCTGAAATGGATAACTTTGAGATATAATTTAGTAAAGCTGCATTGATGAACAACAAAAGCGTAGTATCACTAGATACCTCAATAGAATACCAATTTGTGAATGACATTAAGGCTTAGAAGCTATAGCAATAAAAGAAACCCTAGGAAGAAGAGAAAAAGGGAGCTTAAAGTTCATAGAGCTAGGTGCCAATATATTACTCAGTGATAAAACTAGAAAAGGAAATATTCATCCAACCCTAATCACTATTGATTGCATCTAAATTAGATAAAGATATATCTGCTAAATAATGTAGATTAGCCTTTTACGGATAGGTAATATCTCTGGGCCAGAATCAAGAGGCGTTGTACAATATAAGGATAGCTAAAGAGAAAGTAAAAGTTGGGAAAATTGATAGAATCATGACCCCCTCTCAAGTATTAGTAAAGGACATCTTTAAAAAGGAGACAGCTCCTGAAGTGTTTATGAATAAAACAGTCACATTGATGGCTTTAGATATAGAAGGTGTAATTACTGGTACATTTGGGAAGAGTGGTAAATAAAAAGTAGATCTTAAATAATAGCTAACTGCTGAGCAGTAGGAAATTTTAATCAACACTGAGGTCTAGCTTAAAGTCAAAGTGTATTCAAAGGAACTTGCCAAACTCAATAAATGAAGCTACAAATAATTTTGATTTTTTAAATTCTTGATTTCATAATTATATTCTTAATTTATGGGGTTTTGGGGTTTTGGGGTTTTGGGGTTTTGGGGTTTT